CTGGGCCATGGTTCCTGGTAGACATGCCCACCTTGCTCACCAGACTGGGAGCAAAGGGTCCAACTGTGGTTTATTCACTTCTGTGTCCTAGCAACTAGCTCAGTGCTGGGTACCTGCCACTACTGCTCGGACCAGCTCCTGTTTATTGAGTTGTTATTCTGTTCCAAGAGTTTTATGTATATTAACTAATTTAATCCTCTCAGTAGGAGTTGTCATGATCCCGTCTGTGTTTTGGGAAATTGAGGCACAGAGAGGTTGAGAAACTTGCCCAAGGTCATGCAGCTCATGTTGAGTGGAGTCAGGATTCAAATCAGGCAACTTGTTCCAGTCTGTCTTTTGCCTGCTGAGTTATACTGTCCCTTGGCAATAAACCTTGCAGAGGAAACAGTAGGCATTCAGTTAGTGTTGAGGATATAAAGGAACCAATGCTGGTGTTTTGAGAAGAAAAAAAGGTAGAGGGAAGGCAGTGGGCAAATGAGGCATGCAGAAACACACCCACAGAGCAGCAAGTACCAGCCTTGGGAGGCAGGCTGGACACGGTAGTTGGACCAGATGGTGGACAAGATAAGAGGCTTGGAGTGACATTGATTAAAAGCAAGTTTTAAGAAGATTAATCTGGCTTCAGATTGTTCAGTTCAGTCACTCAGTCATGTCCGACTCTTTGCAACCCCATGGATTGCAGCATGCCAGGCCTCCCTGTCCATCACCAATTCCTGGAGTTTACTCAAACTCATGTCCATCGAGTCAGTGATGCCATCCAACCATCTCATCCTCTGTCGTCCCCTTCTCCTCCCACCTTCAATCTTTCCCAGCATCAGGGTCTTTTCAAATGAGTCAGCTCTTCACATCAGGTGGCCAAGGTGTTGGAGTTTCAGCTGCAACATCAGTCCTTCCAGTGAATATTCAGGACTGATTTCCTTTAGGGTTGACTGGTTGGATCTCCTTGCAGTCCAAGGGACTCTCAAGAGTCTTCTCCAGCAGCTTCAGATTGGAGGAAGCTTGAAATGGGAAGACGATAAGTACAGGGGTCCAAGTAGGAAGCCACTGAAGTCGCCTTGGGAGGGAGGAGATGCTGAGGTGATGAGTGTGGACCTGGAGTCAGGTGAATAAAGGGTGTGAGTCTCAATTCTGTCACTCACCAGCTGTATGACCTTAGTCTCCAAGCCTCTGTTCCTTCATATGCAAGACAGGAATCATTACTCAACTCACAGTGTGTTGTAAGTATTAAATGCATGTTTGCCAAGGGCTTAGCACAGAACTGACCTTCTTCTTCCTTTGTCTTGGGTCATAAGGGCCTACGCCCTGTGGTAGCACTGGTAAGGGAAAGGATGGGGAAATGAGACCCTGTAGAACTTGCTGATTGCTGGGCTCTGGGAAATTGAGGCAAGGATGGGTCAGTACAGGGAGCCTGAGTCCTGGGTCGGGTTTTGTCACTAATGACTTATGATAAGTCACTCATCCATGTGGCTGGATCTCAGTTTCTTCCCTGAAATGTAGAAATATTGCTCTAACACTCATTTTCCTGCCAGCTCTGAATATTATAGTAATATAGCCAAGAGGTTTGGAACCTGGAAACTGGGAGAATAAAAAAGATGGTCAAGCTCTGCCCTCCCCTCCAAAGATATTTTTCCACCTCCTTTGCTTTTATTAATCCAGCCCTTTGTTCTCCCTCTGAGTTGGCAATATGAGTGTTTTCTTTTGTTTTAGGAAAATGGTTCCAAAATCTCAGCAACTGACGGAAGGCTTTGCAAGTGGAGCAGAAGGTGAATCAGAGATGAGTTTTCCCCTGGAGTCCTCTGGTTGCCCTGGTCCTGACCCGATCCTCCTCATTTCTTGAGGGGCAGAAGCCAGTGACTTCTTACACAATTTACCCTTTCTTTTCACTTTCCCGCAGGGCGCGTCCCATGCTCTTTGGTCAGTCTTCAGAGCTGATTTGTGATGATGCCCCTAGGATATCTTAACCCCTGGAAACTCCAGCTGGGCATCCTCAAGAAGAAAGTTGGAGCCTATACCTGGCAACACACACATGTAGTCCCCTGCTAATAAATACTTTTATACTTTGGGCATTTCTTTGCCTGTATTCCATCCTGCTGTAGGTGAAATGAAAATGTGTAAGCAGTTGCCAAATCCTCTAGTGAGTGGGTTTCCATAGCAGCCCTTGGAGGCTTGTTCAGTTCGATTCAGTTCAGTCGCTCAGTCATGTGCGACTCTTTGTGACCCCCATGGACTGCAGCACTCCAGGCCTCCCTGTCCATCACCATCTCCTGGAGCCTACTCAAACTCATGTCCATTGAGTTGGTGATGCCATCCAACCATCTCATCCTCTGTCATATCTGAATGTTGAGTTTTAAGCCAACTTTTCACTCTCCTCTTTCACTTTCATCAAGAGGCTCTTTAGTTCTTCTTCACTTTCTGCTATAAGGGTGGTGTCATCTGCATATCTGAGGTTATTGGTATTTCTCCTGGCAATCTTGATTTCAGGTTGTTCTTCATCCAGCCCAGCATTTCTCATGATGTACTCTGCATAGAAGTTAAATAAGCAGGGTGACAAAACACAGCCTTGACTCTGAGGCTTGTGTCCTTCTCCAAAAGACAGTAGTTTATTTTCAATTAACAAAGGACAAGGAGGTTCTTACTGCAGTTTTGCTTATGGAAACTTCAGATAAATCTCCCCAGCCCTCCAGGGGCCACATGGCGCTGGGAGGAGAGTTGTTGACTTCTGTAACATACAACGTCCCAGACACGGGATACTGGTGATACGAAGACACAAAAAAGTGTTGCTTCTTAATCAAAAAGGAAAACATTATCAAATTGACCTAATAGGCATTCATCAAGGACCTCCTGATACTTCCACCTGCCAGAGATGGCAAATTTTCACTCTTTCAGAGTTCTGGGTTGAGTGTTGAGATCGGATGTCTACTTCATAGGAGGATGAATTGCCTCATTCTTTGAGCTGCTGACCAAAGGTATGGGTGCAGTCAACCACCACCTTAAATAATTTGAGAATCACAGCTTCTATGAAGAAGCAGAGATAATAATTACCCACATATGCTTTACAAAGAGCAGCTCAACCTGTGGAAACTTGCCATGTTGTTGTTTAGTTGTTAAGCTGTGTCTGACTCTTTTGCAACCCCATGGGTGGGATTTCCCAGGCAAAAATACAGGAGTGGGTTGCCATCTCCTTCACCAGGGGATCTTCCTGATTCAGGGATCAAACCTGCGTTTCCTGCATTAGCAGGCGGATTCTTTACCTCTGAGCCACCAGGGAACCTGAAAATGTGCCAGAATTCCACTGAAAGAATAGGGAACAATTCTGTTTTAAAGTCCAGGAAAACAAGATTCTATTTGACTTAGAGGATGTACACAATTTCTTCCAGTTCACTAATTTTCTCTTCTGATGTGTCCAACCCACAGCCAAATACAACCATTATTACTGTTGTTTTGGTTCTTGTATATTTTTTCATTTTGGAAGTTCATTTCTTTTTCAAATATGCTTGTTACTTTGTAGAGTTTCCTATTCCATGTGTGGGCTTCCCCAGTGGCTCAGTGGTTGAGAATGGCAACCCACTCCAGTATTCTTGTCTGGGAAAACCCATGGACAGAGGGGACTGGGGAACTATAGTTCGTGGGGTCACAAGAGTCAACACAACCAAGTGACTGAAAGACAAAAACAACAATTCCGTGCATCTATATGCGTGTTGTTATTTATTTCTTTAAACACATCATCAGAGTTTTTTTTCTTTCTTTTTTAAAAAATAAACCAGATCTAATAATTCCACTATTTGAAATCTTTGTGAATCTGTTCCTGTGATCTGTGATTTTTTTGATGGTTCTTTTTTGTGTTCAGGTTGTCTTGTTTTCTTGTATGCCTGCTAATCTTTGTTTTCCAGTCATTTCATTAAAAAAATAATTTATTTTAATTGGAGGCTAATTACTTTATGATATTGTGGTGGCTTTTGCCATACATTGACATGAATCAGCCATGGGTGTACATGTGTCCCCCATCCTGAGCCCCTTCCCACCTCCCTCCCCACCCATCCCTCAGGGTCATCCCAGTGCACCAGCCCTGAGCACCCTGCCTCATGCATCGAACCTGGACTGGAGATCTGTTTCACATATGGCAATATACATGTTTCAGTGCTATTCTCTCAGATCATCCCACCCTTGCCTTCTCCCACAGAGTCCAACAGTCTGTTCTTTACATCTGTGTCTCTTTGGCTGTTTTGCATATAGGTTTGTCATTACCATCTTTCTAAATTCCATATATATGCGTTAATATACTGTATTGGTGTTTTTCTTTCTGACTTACTTCACTCTGTATAATAGGCTCAGTTTCATCCACATCATTAGAACTGACTCAAATGCATTCTTTTTAATGGCTGAGTAATATTCCATTGTATATATGTACCACAACTTTCTTATCCATTCTTCTGCTGATGGACATCTAGGTTGCTTCCATGTCCTAGCTATTGTAAACAGTGCTGTGATGAACACTGAGGTACACATGTCTCTTTTACTTCTGGTTTCGTCAGTGTGTGTGCCCAGCAGGGGGATTTCTGGGTCATATGGCAGTTCTATTTCCAGTTTTTAAAGGAATCTCCACACTGTTCTCCATAGTGGCTGTACTAGTTTGCATTCCCACCAACAGTGTAAGAGGGTTCCCTTTTCTCCATACCCTCTCTTTTCTGGTCATTTCTATTGAAAAAGTATCTGTGTTAGTGCTCTGAGGTCTCAGCTTGATGTGTTTTCTCCTGAGATGAGCTATCAGTCAGAACACCTTAGAGCAAGGTTCAAGGTTTGAGACCCAGGGATTCAACATCCAGGCTGTACAGAATGAGGTTCGAATTTCTAAGAGGGCTGTCTGTGACTACATATACCCAAGAATAGCTGTTTTTCTTCTTTTCTGTTCCCTCTCTCTTTTTTTTTTTACAGTTTATAGTTTTTAATGAATTTGTAAACAAAGCTCCCATTTCAAAATAAAAACAAAATCCCAGATCATATAGATGTTTACAGTGATTACATTTATCTAAGCAACATACATACATGTTCAGTTGTAAGATGTTAACTAAATTTCTGTGACAAATATGCGCTTTTTTAAATACCAAGAACATTATAGAGTTAATGCAGAGTCCTAAGGATAATCTAGTACTCACTAAGTTTTCTTAAGTCTTCACTTAGACACTGTTTCTCTAGCACAGGTAAGCAGGCAGAGTCCATATGCTCAAACACTGGAATCTTTGGTTGCTACCATATCAGCTGGCTTGCAGACAAGAAGCCAACCATTTTAAGAATGTTTTAAGTGAACAACTTGCAAACCCCAGGGATGGATAAACCCTAAGAATGCACAATTGTGAGCATTTACAACCATCACAACTGTGGCTGAAGACTGTTCATGCCGTTCTTCCGAAATGAGATCTCAAAGCAGTATAGTTCAAAATAAAAGATTTTAACAAAAAATTGGCATATGCACAATTTCTCCACCAATTTGTGTGTGTCAACCATTTAGTGAACTTTTCCACTTGAAAAAATGCAATAGAAAACTGACACCATGTTTCACTATCTCAGTTAATATTCACAATTACAGCGGCTACAACTCAGGACACAGCATCCATCACCAATGCTGCCCAGAGCCAGTTTATACTGAAATTAAGTTCTTTACACCAAGTAAATGGTTGTCCACAACCACTGGCTAGTGTACACATGAACTAAAATGTCTAGATTTGGGGAGAAACAAATGCTGCTCCGATCATCTGCTCTGCTTCTTCTGTTCCTTGATTCATGCTTAGAAACCTTTCATGTTACTCTTGGTTTTGTCAGTTTGCTTGCCTGTAGGGGTTTGGGCCTGCTGACCCTGCCCACTTGAAGAGGCTGCCTTCTGTGCTGCTTTCTGCTTTAACATTGTCCAATCAAATGTGTAGTCATATTGGTGATTCAGGGTCCTGAAAAGAATGCGGAATAGCTGCCTCAGGTACATGTAATCCGGGGCTTCCTCAGAGCGCAGCCCACGACAATAGTTTAAGTACATGGCAAATTCTGCAGGAAATCCCTTACATAAAACTTCAACAGGTGTGGCCATCTTCTTTTCACTAATTTTTTCATGTTTTTGTTTCTTTGTTGCAGCCTTTAATCCTTGCCATGGCAGGCTGGTTCTATTAAAATACATCAAAACATATCCTAATGATTCCACATCATCTCGGCGACTCTGCTCAATACCAAGATGTGCATTGATGCTGGCGTAACGAGCGGTGCCGGTGAGGTTCTTATCTTCTCTGTACGGTATGTGTTGCCTGGTCCTGTTGTCTCTGTACTTTTTGACCAAACCAAAATCAATAAGGAATAACTTATTACAGTGACGCCCAATACCCATTAGGAAGTTTTCTGGTTTAATGTCTCTGTGTATAAAATTCTTTGTATGCACATATTCGATTCTACTGATCATCTGGTCGGCTAACATAAGTACAGTTTTCATTGTGAACCTTCTTGAACAGAAATTGAAGAGGTCTTCAAGGCTGGGTCCAAGAAGATCCATAACTAGCACGTTATAGTCTTTTTCCTGACCATACCACCGTATGTGGGGGATGCCAACCCCACCTTGAAGAATCTTATAGTTTGCTCTTGTACAGCAACTGGGGATGCCTGGCCTTCTGGGATTCTAGCGTCACTGCCACCTCCTCGCCGTTGGTGATATTGATCGCCAAATAAATGTCCCCGAAGGAGCCAGACCCGATCTTCCGTACCAGTTTATATTTCCCTCCGACAATGAATTCGGCCTTGGAGCCGCTGCTGCTCGCCATCCTGAGAGACGAAGATGGAGGCTGGGGCTAAGCCCCGACACCTCTAAAGGGAGGATGGAGGCCTCTAGGGCTAGACCACGGAACAAGGCTGTGGAGAGCGGCAGGAAACAGAAAACAATGGATCTTCTTCGGCGTTACAGGGCCAAGAATTGGCCAAGGGGAACCTGATCACCGCTGCTGTCAGGTTTTTTGGCCGGGCCGCAGATTGTTGAAGGAGTTCTCGCGGTTACCAGACTGAGCCACTTGTTTCTGGCGGCCGCCGCTGCCTCGCTTTCCCGGCGACGTCGCGGGCTGGAAAAGGAGCGGTGAAGCTAGGGCGGCGATACCGCTGCCACCACTGCCACCGGCTCCCGCCCGGAGGGACCCCCCCGTCACTCCGCCGACGCCGCCATCTTGTTGCTCCGGCTCCAACTAACACAAAATGCCCCCAGTCCCCGGGAGCCGCTTCTTCACAGCGCAGAGCACTGTGGGTCTCTCTCTTTTTTTAATCACTGAAACAACCCTTTGTGAAGTTTCCAGAGGTTTTTGGGGGGAGAGGCAGGATGAGATCTGGTTACATTTGTCTGAGATTATAGTCCTTTTGGATCTCAGCACAGTGTGGGAAAGGTCTCCCCAGACACCTCACTGTCAGTGAGCTCACTCCTCTCTCTGCAGGTCTGTTGCTGACAACTGCGGTCACTCGTGTTCCTGGCAAGTACCCTCAGATCATAAGCAGTTTTGTAGGTCTCATTTTTGACTTACCTTTCTGGTTACAGAGTTTCATCCCAAAATTAGCATGGAAGTTCTTTATGTTTTTTTCAGATAGATAGTCAGTGTTTTTAAATTGTTTTTACTTTTGCAATCTTATCCATCACAGACTAGTACCAAATAGGAAAAGGAGTATATCAAGTCTATATATTGTCATCCTGCTTATTTAACTTATATGCAGAGTACATCATGAGAAACGCTGGGCTGGAAGAAGCACAAGCTGGAATCAAGATTGCGGGGAGAAATATCATAAGCAGTTTTGTAGGTCTCATTTTTGACTTACCTTTCTGGTTACAGAGTTTCATCCCCAAATTAGCATGGAAGTTCTTCATGTTTTTTTCAGATAGATAGTGTTTTTAAATTGTTTTTATTTTTGCAATCTTATCCATCACAGACTAGTTCCAAATAGNGCTGCGATTCATGGGGTTGCAAAGAGTCAGACACAACTGAGCGACTGAACTGACTGACTGATCCATCATTTTTCTTTGATTTCAGCTGCAAGTTTAATCTCTGTAACATTTGGTCTGGGAGGCCACCATCATCTTTCAAAATGCAAGTTAAGGCAAGTTTCTGCTCATCACGTAGGACAGTCATTCCCTAAATGGATTACTTGTTAAACATTACTCACTGATGGTTGGACCCTGGGCTGCACGGCGAGAAACTTCCAGGATAAAGTTCCAGCATCTTGGTGTGGAATATGAAGCCTCTTCCTCCCTCTCTAGACCTACTGCCTTCCCCTCCCGCTTCTCACTCCCATACTGTGCTCCAGCAATGCAGATGAGCTTGGATTTTTCTGAACACACGGTATCTTTTCTCACCACTGTGCCTATGCGCGTGTGCTCCCTGTGGACTAGAATATGCTTTTCTCTTTGTATGAGACAAACACTTATCCATCTTTCAAAAGTCAGCTCAGAGATCACCTCCTTTACAAAATTCTCTTCAACTGCCCTCTAGCCATAAGTTGCAATTCATCTTCCCTTGATGGTACACTTTGTACATCATTCTATGAGTACATATACTATTGTAATTTCCTTTTGTTCTAGATTTCAGGCTCCTTGAGAGCAGGGATTATAGTTAATTCATCTATTGCTCAATCTATTTTTGCTAGTTGATTGAATGCAGCACACAGTCAGACAAGTCAGATATCCAGCCCAAGGAGAAAGAATATTGCAATGGCTTCTGACACTTTTTTTTTTGTTCAGTCACTAAGTTGTGTCTGACTTTTTGTGACCCCATGGATTGCAGCACGCCAATCTTCCCTGCCAGTTACTATCTCCCGGAGTTTGCTCTGACAGTAACCACCCAGAGTTAAATTAAACTTCACAGATTAAAGGCATAGTCCTCCACAAGACTGCCCTCATTTCAGAGGCCAGTGGCAAGTTCAGGGGTCCCCACACAACCCTCACCTCTGCTCAACTGGTAACAAACTTTGGGGTTCACACCACCCCTTAGGTTTGGTAATTTGCTAGAACTACTCACAAAACTCAGGAAATGCTGTACTTATAACAACAGTTTTATTATAGCACAAAGGATACAAATTAGATCAAGCTGAAAGAATAAGTACGTAGGGAGGATCCCAAACACTAAGCTTCCATGTCCTCTCCCTGAGGAGTCACGATGTTTCACCTTCTGGGTACATCGGTGTGTGACAATATACTGACAATATACTGAGTATTGCCAACCAGGCAAGCTTACTTGCACTATGATGTCCAGAGTTTTTATTGGGATATCATGATGTAGGCATGACTGATTAAATTATTGGCCACATGATTCAGCTCTGTCTCTAGTCCCTTCTCCCTTCCTCAGAGGCCAGACTGATGTCAGGTGCCTCAAAGCACCCAGCCTCTAATCACAAGATTGTGTTGTGTGGTTAGTCGTTCAGTCACGTCCAACTCTTTGTGACCCCATGGACTGTAACCTGCTAGGCTCCTCTGTCCGTGGAATTCTCCAGGCAAGAACACTGGAGTGGGTAGCCATGCCCTCCTCCAGGGGGATCTTCCTGACCCAGGGATCGAACCCGGGTCTCCTGCAGCAGTGTTTTGGCTTCCCTGGTGGCTCAGATGGTAAGGAATCTGCCTGCAGTGGTGGAGACCTGGGTTCCATCTCTGGGCCAAGAAAGTCTCCTGGAAAAGAAAGTGGCAACTCACTCCAGTATTCTGGCCTCAAGGATTCCGTGGGCAGAGGAGACTGGAGGGCTCCAGTCCATGGGCTCACAAAGAGCCAGACACAACTGAGCAGTCTTAGGTTCAGTTAAAAATCAGGTATGCTGAGGGGAAGGAATGAAAGAGGTGTTTTAAAAAAAAGTAAGGAGACGGATATTGGGAAAAATAAACAGACTGTATCATACCAGCCTAACATGTTTGGATTTTGTCTCATAGGACGCAGAAACCTAATGAGAGTTTTAGTGCAAAAATGATCAAGTTCAGTTCTGAATGCCTTCTAGTGCCTCCCGAGGGCTTTCTGGGATGGAGAATAAATATTTCTTTTTGATTTATGATGATAGTGAGACCAAAGCAGAGGAGGACCAACCTTACCACAGGAGGAGGCAACTGTCCAAAAACCTCCACAAACACCTCCTCCACTGACACTTGAAATTCTGACTTTTGGGAAGGGCACTGGGAGTCAACCTTCCCGAGCCTCCTCCTGCAGGGAGCACTGTGAGGGGGGCACATATTCCCCACTCTCAGTGGTTCCTTCTCTAGAGGGTCCTTCTTTACAGGGACACCCTGGCCTCCCTCAGCTCCTACATCACTCTTCCCCAGAGGAAGAGGCGGCTCTTACTGGATGGATGGGCCTTTAAATAGGGACAGTGGCTCACCTGTTGCTGGTTATGAGGCAAGTTCTTCAGGGTTGGTCTCGGAGGACGAGCCTGTCCCTGGCGGATGACGGTGATGCTGGAGCTGAGCTGTGCCCTCCAGGAGAGCTTTTCATCTGTGTCAAAGGTGGTACTTCCAACTTCGTCTGCCAGGTTCCTGTGTCTGCCTCTGAACTGTTTCAGAACTCTGTTGGGGAACAGGGGCACTATTTATGAGCCCCTCAAAAGCTCACAGGTATGCACAGAAGTGGCTCCTGGCAGGTGAAGGAGCTCTTTTCATCCCCTCTGCTCCTGAGAAGCAGGGAGTCTGACCCTGCAGGGGAGAATGCAGTTGGCTCATTGGCAGACACTTCAGCAGACCTGGGTTCGATCCCTGGGTTGGGAAGATCCCCTGGAGAAGGGAAAGGCTACTCACTCCAGTATTCTGGCCTGGAGAATTCCATGGACTGTATAGTCCATGGGGTTGCAAAGAGTCGGACACGACTGAGCGACTTTCACTTCACTTCAGCAACTCATCAAGTCCATAGACCCTCCTGAAAAAGATGAAATCCACACAAGAGAACAGGGAGGGAAGAAGGAAAAAAGAGGAAAGCAAGAAATGAGAAGGACTCAGAAAGAGGGAGCTGACTTAGTAGAATCAGGATGGGTTTCTTGGAAGAACACAGGGCATGGCACAGGTTTTACATTTTTCTCTTATGATTTTTTTCCCTTGTTTCCACTCTGACAAAGCCCAGTTTTATGTCTTCTCTGTCCTGGGAGCCCAGAATTTTCCACAACATACTGATCAGCTCCATACACTTTTTTTAAGGGGTAATCTATGAGTGCAGTTTTCCATCCTCCTTTCCAGCACACTTGGCTCCCTGAAGGAAGCCCGGCAGGCTGTGGGGGGACCAGCTGCAGGGAGTCCCTTGTGTCTGATGGCCAATGACTCACTTCCCTCTGCCGGCCTTGAAGAGCTTCTGAATCTACTCCCGGGTCAGGTTCCTGCTCCGTAGTAGCCCTTCTGAATTCCAAAAGCAAGAAATTACCCGCTGGCAACCCGGACTGCAGCCCCAGCTGCTAGGTGCAGGACCCGAGTTTCCGATTCTGCAGCAGTGGGACACTTTCTGGATGGTCGTCAAGCTCAGACTCTTTGAAGGAAGGGTGAGAACAAAGCTGTGAATGCGAGAGGCGGGGACCTGCAGGCAGGGCCAGGGTCCCAGAGGGCTTGTTCATTACACTGGGAACTTCCGGCCTCAGGATAAGGACTGCTCAAAAGTCAAGAAGTAGTTAGCTCTCTGTGGCCCCCAGGTAAGACGGATTGAATTTAATAGACACAATGAGATGATTCTTAATCCTGGGTGCACAGACTAAAAATCTCCACTCGAATGTCTAAGTGGTCCCTCAAAATGACAGTGTTCAAAATCAAACTGACCTTATTCTCCTCTCACCAAGCCTGCTTTCCCCTCACCTTCCTTCTTGTTTAGTGATACCACCATTTACCCCAGGGCTTCTCTGGTGCCTCGGATGGTAAAGAATCTGCCTGCAATACAGGAGACCTGGGTTTGATCCCTGGGTCAGGACCAGCCCCTGGAGAAGGGAATGGCTACCCACTCCAGTATTCTTGCCTCGAGAATTCCATGGACAGAGGAGCCTGGTGGGCTACATTCCATGGGGCCTCAAAG